ACTCATTAACTTAATAGAAATAAATAAATCCAAAGAGTTTACCTGTGGTGAAGAATAATAATATCTGAAAGCTCCTTCCTGGATAGTTTGAGTGGTTCATCTAACTTCCCAGTACACTACCAGAATTTTGTTTTATAGCAGCTTTTATGAATGGAACTCCTTCCTTTTTAAGTTAGTAAAGGTTAATATTGTAGACCCTCTCCTGTATATTTGTTTTAAAGATGGAATTCTGCCATAAGAAGAAGAAGAAATTAAGAAAACCTAGTCTGAGTTTATGAAATGTTTACATTAGTTCCAAGGGAAGCCACTGATTTGAAAAAAAAAAAAGAAAGTGAGAGGAATAGGAGGAGGGGGGGAAAGTCAGACTAATGTTGGGTCAGTCATTATGCATTTTCTATTAATTCTTCCAGGAAATGATTGGTGATTAAGTTTTCATAAAAAAAATCAAGAATCTGGATGATGACATATGAGAAAAATATATGAGCTTAGTCTCTTACAAATCTGAAAGCTATTAATAATTTTACTTTTTTCTCCCTGCTTTTCCCAAGCTTCCTTCAAGCTCATATTCTAGAATATGCTAGATTCTACCTACCAGTATATATTTTTTTGGTTTTTTTTAAAAATCAGTCAATGCTTTATATACCTTCAAGGCATCTTTGTTTCCTTGAGTATAAGACATCATCTTAAAGTGCATAACAAATTATAAAGTGCATAACAAAGTTAGTCTTGATGCTAAGGATTTAAAAAAAAAAAAAAGAAAAGAAAAAATTTTCCTTCTATCCTCTCTCCATCCCTCTCTCTGAATAATGTCATGCAAAAGACTTGGGAAATGAGAGGCTGTCTACCAGAGTCATGCTGCAAAGATCATTGTAGGAATGAGACTTTTATATAAAAACCCACACAAGGAGCAGCAGTGCAGATTCCTAGAAAACTATTACCTAATTATTTGCTAGTCCAATACTTGTGCAATTACCCATCAAAATTAGAAGAGTTTCCATTCTCTTGCCTGACCTCTTGCAAAGACTTCTTGCCAAGGCTGTTGTTTCCACCCACTGTAGTGTATTTTTGACATGAGGACACTAGTTCATTAGGGTCAATGATTCATTTTATATGGTCCAGTAAACAGCCAACTTAGTGAAAATTTTTGGCTGATAGTTCCTTATAGCTGGCATAACAAACAGCTGACTAATGTATTCCAGTGTTTAGTGAACAATGATAACAGTGTCTATTAAGGCTGGGCAGCTATGCCAAATACAATCATATATAATCAGCTGCATCAGAAATCCCTGTCGACACATTGCAGAACATCATCAGTCAGATGATGCATCTGCTACAAGTGGCAGCTGTTGTGCTCTGGAGTGTAGACAATTGGACATGAATATAATCCTTGGGCTATCTGCAGCACTCAAGCATGGCATTAACTGACACCTGTTAAGCTGTAATCCCTACAGTTTAGACATCTATCCATGATAATTATTGAAAATACAATTTAGGATATCTAAAGACACGAGATTTAATAAATAACAGTGAGCATAACAGCAATGCAAAAGCTCTTTAAATAGTTCACAAGTAGTCAGGCTAACTAAAATTATAAGCCCCTAGGCAAAGCCATAAATGCCAAGTACCAAATTTTTTGACATGTAATTTAATACGTGATGCAGTCTAATTTTTATATATAATTACTGAAGTAGTATTAAGTAATACTGCAAGAAGAATTAACTGTGTGAACAGGAGAATCAGGGAAAAAACCTCTATATGTAAGGTTACAAAGAAAATGAGCATAAATCATTGCCTTTGGCATAAATATTTACACAGGCAGTGAAGAGTGATTTTTTTAATGGGATTTTTCTTTTTTTTTTTACAAGACCTGGATTTTTCTTCATATCACTAGATTAGGTGATAATTTTGAATATCCTTCTGAATTTCTCTGGATGACAAATTTTTGTTGTAATGAGGAAATAATCCAGAGGTTTATTAAATTGTTACGTATATCTACAAGAAATATTGACTGCTGCAGATGTCCTTAAAAAACAGAGTAAGAAGCCTGATAAAACTTACTGAAGATTCTAGCCTACCAGCAGATAAAGCCTTACATACTTGTTTGTAAGACTGGAACCTTAGCAACAGGGTAAGTGAGGGCAAAGCACTTATGATATTATCCAATAATGGAGAAAAATTAAACATTTGAAAATAGTTTAGTTACTTTTCTTTCATGCAGAAAACACTAAACAATATATTGTGATGATTATTCAGCTGTCTGGAGAGCTCTAAGCCTGAGAAGGCACCAGCCACAGTGCACTCACTAGTAGACAATTCCTTTCCCTTCAACAGTACTTACCAAGCTGTTTCACACATCAGACTGAGGCACAAAGCATTACAGGATGAAGAACATGACAACTACCTCAGAAGTCAGCAGTAAAGACAGCACAAGAGCAGGAATTGGGATTTGATCAGGAGCATCTGCTTGGGAAGACTGAAGCCTTGCAGGAGATGAAGACACCAGCTGCAACAACTCCAAGAACTGATTACCCAGTAAACACCCAGCAGGCCCACCTGGAATCTTATTTAGATACTTTTTTAAAATCCCATTTCTCCTCAGCAAAAAAAACTCATTTTGTGTTGCTGTATGATCAGAGAGCAACATAATTTATATGCCAGATGAATATGTGGGACGAATTTTATTGCAATAAACATTTTGGGAATATGAGGATAAGCTAATTACTAGGAAAAAAGTATTACTAGGAAAGGAGGAACTACGACCAGAAATTATTCAAAAACTATTTCACTGGAAAATAAAATAGTCAAACAAAATTAAAAATGCTGCTTCAGTGGTATGTTTTTAATACAGGTTTAGGAAACGAGAGCTAAAGGTTCAAGTAATGGCTTATGAACATATTTTTCTTGCTTTCTAGCATAGTTTGCTTCGTGTGCTTTGGGAAGTTTGGTTAGCGGTCTCTCTATCTTTAGGAGTGTGCATGACTCTTGTCCCGAGATGTGACATGTACCCTCTGCATCAACACTTTCAGAATTATAGATTTAAAACTCTCAGTCATCCTGTTAAGACTGCACTTTAGTAGAAACTGAACCAATCTACCTGCACTGCAAATTAAAAGGGTTGTAGAGGAGTATTTATGCTAGGGGCAAGGTGAAAGCCTACAGGCACATAGGAGCACCTGGTTCAGATTGAGGAATCCTCTGAGAGGATGTGGTTTATATTCATGTGTCTCTGAAAGGCCAGGAGGGCATAAACAAAAAAATATTGTAGACAAACCAGACTGCTAGCCAGGCTGTCTGACTGGCATGTGCAATATCAAATGCAGAATCACAGAATGCCACAGAAATAATCAAGCCAGAAATAAAGACCTCTGAGTTCTTCAAGTCTAACCTATGACCCAACACCACCATGGCAGCTAGACCACGGTACTAAGTGCCACACCCAGTAGTTCCTTAACAACCTCCAGGGATGGTGACCCCACCACCCCCTTTGGCAGTCCAATCCAATATCTAATCACTCTTTCTCTGAAGAAAATCATCCTTTCTTTGGAATCAAAGTAGAGCAAAGGTAAAATTGATTTTCTGTGCCAGAACTACAAGCCTAATGCAGATGTTGCTGATGGTACTGAGGGTATTCTCACACTCAATGTATTCTGTGTAGCAGACAGATCAGAGGGGCTAAATCACAGAGAATATATGCAGAACTACCAAACCAAGTAAATTAGACGTCAGTTAGTGACCAGGACTGAGAGGGTTTATCTGAGAGTTCTGAAGTATTGTAAGAATAAATTGCAGAGAATCTGGGGTCTCTTTAAGGAGATATGTTTAACTTTTATGGTGGTGGATAAAGTGATTGCAGAGCTATTATTCATCCAGTTAGGGGAGGTTGAGACTGGACATTAGGAAACATTTCTTTATGAAAAGGGTCAAACACTGCAGCAGACTTTCTAGAGAGGCGGTTGATACCTGAAATCTGTACGCTTCAAATTTTTCATCAGCAATGAAGTGGTCAAGAAGTTGGACTAGATTATCTCTGTATGTCCATTTCAACTGAAACGTCTATTCTGTTATACTATAAATCCCACAATACAACAACTAAGGGCAGTCAGTGAAATTACTTGTGTTTAAATTAGATAAAAGAATGTTCTTGCGAACTTGCTGCCACAGAAAGCCACTGTCAGCAGTTTTAAAAAAGGATTACAGAAACCCATGCACAACAACTTCATAGTCTGACACCAAAGGAATGAGGCAGGGAATATAACTATGGGTACTGGGGGAATCTCTGGGGAAGGGACTGTGCAAATTGGCCAGACACCCATGCTGTCCTTAATTACCACTCTTTGCTGCCACTGCCAGTCTTAGACGTGGACATGGGTTGGGCTCAGTGCATTGACGGGGAATTGCCACTATAGGACATGAGAAAGCACGACACAAGCTGCTGCTATTGTCGAGGTAAAAAGGCCAGCTTATTTTTTCTGTCTCCAGCATTTATAGTTTTCCAAAGGTGACAGTGGATTGGAGGGTGAAAGTGCCACCTCTCCGACACTGGACAAACTATCAGTCCATCAGATTTCTCCGCCTCTATGAAGGAATGCAAACCCAATAAGTTATTTACATAAAGTGTGTGAGAAAGTTTGCTACAAAAATGTAAACTCAGAAGGCTTTAGAAAATCTTAAAAAATCAGGGCAACAGGGTAATTTTTCCAGAGTTCACAGAAGTTCCAAGGGGAATGTAAGAGGAAAATTATGCAGAGTGATATCTAAAGTGTTTTATTTATTTTTAAGGGGGATATTAGGATAATTTAATCTGTAATTATGACCAGATTTTTAAATTTTTCTTATAAAATGAAGAATTACTTTCATGTGTTACTCTTTTAATCTTGAGAAGGTAAGGCTGTTAACCCAGAGATCTTTCCCAGTACTATTGGCTACAGATTCTTTCAGAAAGAGTCCTAAGGAGTAATAAAGTTAACGGATAAGAAAAAAAGACAGTACAAGCAGAATAATTACAATGATTGAAAATACATAACTAAAAATTTTTGTCTATAATTATTCTCCACAGAGTAAAACTGACAGAGCAGTCAATTCTTATACAGCTAATGGCCAGATCTCCCAATACAAAATCTGATATTACAGAGTTGTTATTTTCATATTGGCAAAACTAAAAACTGTAATTTTCTTCCTTTTTTCTCTTCCACTATACAATGATTGCAGGTGTGAAGTTCCATTCTCCTTTTGTTCAAGCTCCTCTGTGTCCCATAATAAATAGGGCAGTCATGAAGCTCAGAAGCTTTTTACAATTTAAAAACGGATTGCCTGTTTGTTTTTTAAATCCCTCTCAAAGACTCCAGAGTTACAGAACAACTGGCAATATACAGTGACCATCTGCATCACCTTCATTTTTTGACAATTCAAATTGATTTCCTTCATCCTGTGGAATTCATGCCTGATGATGTGTGTTCACACCATCCAATGCATCTGGGAAGACATTGTTAGTAAGAGAACATCAGAATGAGCAAACTGTACCATGACACATGAAGTATGGACTCAAGGTACTTTTGCCCTTCTTATGCAGGGTAAAGGTTTTATTCATGTTTCAAGGCTTCAAATTTAGATAACTTCTAGAGGTGTACATGTGAAATATAGCCTAATGCCACTGACTCACTTTGCTGATTGATGCCATTTATCCTCAAAGACACCATAGAGTATGTTCTTATAAAGTCAGCAGGGCTTTTTAGGACTTGCACAAAACACTTCAACATAATAGATGCTGATATAATTCAAATCAGGAATAAAAAGTTATGATGCAGAGGGTCAGTGGTGCACAGAAGTCACACATAGATCTGAAAAGGAAAATAGTGATTAATGTATCTTCTCAAGAGAAGCTTTACTCAACTAAAATAAGTAAAAGTGAAGTACTGTGGAATAGTCAGGCTAGTCTTTCACCTTCATTATTTTACAATAAATAATTTTTAAACTTGAAAGGTATTGCGTTACTTTGCTTGATATATGAAGATGATCCAGCAAATTATTTTATCATGCTTCTAATGTTAGATTTCAGAAGCTTTATTAAATTTACTGGAATGGCTCACATATGTAAAGCTAAATATATATTCAGAGCTTTGGATGAACTTGACCTAACTGTTAAGTGTAGTGACAAAACTGCACCCAAAATAAATAAATCCAAAGGATAACTTGATATGAATTAAATAATAGAACAAAAATATATGCATTCTGCACAAAACCCCATAGAAACATATATCCCACTTACATATATCCTACTCACTAAAAGATATGTGAGACAATGCAAAATGCCATAAAATATGAAAATGATTATCATGTAGCTTAACATATTTTCCCAATTAATTATGTCAGCAGAAAAGGTCAATAAATTGAAGGTGCACATTTCAGAGAAGTTTCTACTAAACAACTTTATTTACATTTATTTAAAATTTAATATAATTTAATTTGTGATACTTCACAACAAGATAATACATTATTTACTTCTAAAAGGGAATAATACACCATTTAGAAATGTTTCTTTGGAATTTTAATACTTTGTCACGCAATAGTCTAACTGAACTGATATTCCTTAGGCAAACTGTACAGTGTCAAAATTAAATGTTTGCTTGCAAGGTTTCCTAAAAATAGATAGGAAAATCACCTAAAACAACAAAATTTACACTGTTCTGTAAAATGTGAGATAATATGATTTAAATGTATTTTTCCCTTTCAGTTTTCAGCAACATATGGCCATTAATAAAGTTTTGTGGTTTTGGTGTATAATTTAAATCTCTTAAAAGTATAGTATTATGTACTATAGTTAAACAAAAATATAAAACCCCACATTTTATTAAAGCCATGCAAGATTTTGGAAACTGGATGTAAATAAACAAATAATTTTAGAAGCAGCTCCAGGAATCTGGTTAAGCCAGTGGTGACTTGCTCACAAATATATGCTAACATGCATGAGAAGGAATATTTATTATCACAGCACCATAAAAAGGATTGGTATGGTGTCCTAGACTTTCCCAAAGTAATAATTGGAGAACCAAGAGGTAAGGTCAGAATTGTAGTAGGTCTACTATAGTCCAGCAGTTTATGCTGGGAAACATGAAGATGAGGTGGCAATAATCATCATAGAGAATAAATACCTTTAAGAAAAATTTCCACTGCATGTGAACTAATTCATATGTAGAGATACAAAATATTTCTTTACATGGTAATATAAAAGGAATCATCTGGGCTTGAAAACTGTGTAATGTGATGTGAGTAGAGATAAATGTGTTTAAAAAAACTGAACACAAATGTGTGCTTTCATCGTCAGTCCCATTCTTTACTTGATGGATCAACCTTTCATAAAACAAGAAAACTACTCTTTCCAAAACGCTTGTAAGTAGCACTGCTTTCTTAATTGTTCTTTCATTCACATATATATATATATATATATATATATATATATATATATATATACACATATATACACATATATATATAGAGAGAGAGAAGAGAGAAAGAGAGAGAGATCTTGACTGATGTGAAATCACAGCATGAGTCTCTTTGTTCTCAGATGCTGTGTTTGGAAAATAAAATAGAACAAAAGGAAAGAGAAATAAGGAAATAAGAAAATACCTTACAGTCCAGAATCCCTCCTCTTGAAAAACTCTTAAATCAAAAGAGCAAACAAAAGCTCACTGACTATAGGCTATTCTCCATTTTCTAATTCTTGTTCCAGCTATTTTCCATTTACACTGCAGTAGCCTAATGTAAGCCTCAGTGACTTCTTCTTCAAAAAATGTATTTTTGTACATAAAGCTTTCTGTCTTCTATACAGTTTCCATAGCTTATAGCTTCCACATCTATGCCTATCTTCACAGAGAGGCCAGAGAAGCAACATAAATTTTCTGATGTTGTTTTTACTGTCTTGTTCCTATGAATAGTCTTTTGGTCTTGAATTTCTGGTCTTGAAAAGGACTTCTGAATCAATGCTATCCTGGAGCTTTTCCCTGCTTTCTGCACTTTGACATGATATATTTGACAAGGTCAGAGAAGGAAAGAGAAATTTTAACATTTATTTAGCACTTTCTTCCCCTTTTAACAGTAAACCTGTACTAGTACCACTCTGTCTCTTTTCCCATGCCTTTATTCTCTTTTCATGCTTTTTCTTTGTATGCTCCCTTTCTCCTCCTGAATTTTGCTCTACCATACAATTATCTTGAGCAATAACCCACCCCATGCTGCCATTAATATTATCAGACTTAGTAGCTGCCATCAGATGTTTCTATTCCCTTTAAACTTAAAAACAGAGATTAGGGTAAGTGTAAAGATAGAACACACAACAAAAATCAAGGAGGAGCCCAATAGAAAGAATTAATTTCTCTAATTTTTCTCCCCTGTGAAAAGGGAAGGGAAGCAGCATGGTCTGCAGAGACTCTTTAAAAGTGAGTTGGAAGGCCAGGAATATCAAATCTATTGCTTCCAGAAACAGTGCAACTCCTCCACTGCAAGGAAAACACTGAGCCAAAATATGAAAAGGCAGTGGCAGTAGATTTTTTTATAATTTTTTTCTATGATTCATTTTGGACATCTTACAATTTTTTAATTTGTTTTTGACAAATGACTAAAGATTGTAAAATTATTTAGAGCTCTCCTTGTGAGGGAGTCAAAGTGGTACTTTCTGTTAGAAGCTGGAACAATTTACAGAGGAAAAATCACACTAATGTTAATGATGCATTTTAGAAATGCACTATAAAAAGTCATGGACTATGACAATTTTTTTTTTTTTTTTTTTTTTTTTTGGTACAAAGCTTTAATGAACATTTAAAACTTAATCTAGAGACACGTAGTTTGTCATTATTTCCTATTGACTTTACTGGGGTTTGAATCCATCCTACTGTACTGGCCTATTTTCATCTCTTTCTGCCATAAACAGAGATAAATTTTCAAACATAGAGTTCAATGTCCCCTTATATTTGAGGAGCACAATATTCATACCTAGGTTACTGCTTTTCTCCTTCCTGATGCTGGCTTTTAAAAGAGCCAAGAAAATAAAGATTTAAAAAAAAAATCAAGGATATAAAGATACAAAAACAATTCACAGATCTGTTGGAGTGAGTTCCAAAGAAGGGCCACAAGAATGATTACAGGGATGGAACATCTCTTCTATGAGGAAAGGCTGAGACAACTGGGGTTGTACAGCCTGGAGAAGAGAAGGCTCCAGGAAGACAGTACCTAATGATGGCCTAAAGACAGAAGACAGACCTGAAAACTGAAGACAGACCTTTTACAAGGGCATGGGTTACTGCCTTTAAATTTGATGAGGTTAGGTTTAGATTGGTGAGGCACTGGCACAGATTTCTCCGAGAAGTGTCCTGGATGGTGTGTCCCAGTGGGTGTCCCTGGAAATGTTCAAGGTCAGGTTGGATACGGGGCTTTGAGAAAGCTGGTTCAGTGGAAGGTGGCCCTGCCCAGGGCAGGGGAGTTGAATCTAGATGCTCTCTAAGATTCCTTTCAACCCAAACCATTCAACCCAAACCATTCCTAGAATGGTATGATACATCTTCACCTGACTGTCTTTCCATTTCTCTGAGGGCTAGGGAGAAGTCTTCTGACTTTTTACTGTTGCAAGATAATTTAGATTTACTGCCTGTGCCTCATTGTTCTCCACATCCCTATGCAGATCAAGAAAACCATTTCCTTTCTGTCTGTCTCTCGAAGGTTATTGCAACACTGCATCTCAGTTATCCTGGGGAGCATGGAGCTGGAAACATTCTATTTTCTTCACAATATTTAAATATTTAGATGACCCTTTTCCCTTACATGAGTAAATGCCCCCATATCTTTTTGAGTTCCATAGTAGCATGGGGAATATTATCACAGATGTTTCTTTCAATACTGTTCAGTTATTCTATTTCCTTTATCATCAGGGGTTTCCTATCTTCCAGAGATTGTACAAAATAACAGAAAGCTTGCCACTGTATAAGAAATCAGAGCATTAATTTATCAAGGATGAATGAGAATGTCAGTCATGAACTAAAAAGAACAACATTCTGTTTAATAGGGGTTTTAAATAGTTATCTTTATCCTATTTAACATTTTAGCTCTGTTTTTTTTTTTTTTTTTTCAGATTTGTGAACATAAATAAGCACATTGGTAAAGAGGGACAAATAATGAGCTCAGTGATTCATTTTCTATTAAAAAAATTGACAGGATTGGATAATTTGCATTTTTATTTTATGGCATTTTAAATACATTAATTGAATGACAAAACATCTGAGAAAAAAAAAGTTGTTAAGGAGCCTATAGTCTAAAATCTTTCACTCTAGAAGTATCATTCCAGTAAGATAGACTAAAAATGTTATTTACCTATGTGTGTCTTCCTTCTTATATAAATTCTGCTGTAACAAAGCAAATAACCTTCTCCTTGACCCAGTTTAAGTAAGTCACACAGGTAGCATCCTAATAAAGAGACAGCAAAAGTCTTTTTGTTGCCTAAACTATTGTTATTTGTGAAGAAAGGAGGATGCTTAAGGAGACAACTGAAGTTCAGCTGAAGAGTTAAGAGTGGGTGGGAGTTAATAAGGAGGATCTGACTTACTAATTGTTGCAGTGTTTGGGACAAGAAAACTGAGTAAACATCCCCTAGAAAGAAAACAATTTCTGTTCTGAAATATATACTTAGAAATAAGTTGTTGTGCTAGAATGCAGATCTCTCAGTGGTAAAGAATGACTGTATGCAAGCTCTCAAAATATCATAGAGCACATAAAGCAATACATCTTGCTATCAGTAATGCATCTCTTATGCTTAAGTCCTACTTTACACTGTGCTCTAGGTGATGCTGAAAGCTGAACTTCTCCCTTGTGGGTCTCTCAAACAAAGGGGCATACATGTGACTAAAAGCAACTTTTGCTTCCTAGATCAAGTAATGCATTAAATGAAGCTGGTTAGCCCCAAGGCCAAATTTTTTAATATAAATTGCTGTCATTTCTTCAACATGTCAGAATTGAAGACTCTTTTAGAGCTGGACACTCTGTAAAAGGGTGAAATCCACTTAAAGTTTTCCCAAAACTCAGCAAAAGTTTCAAATTTCAATTTTTTTTTTCTTAGTTAAGTAGGCTAGATTTTATTGTGGTTAATGGACTCTGATCAGACTGGATATACAGTATAAGATTTTACCTCAGCTCTTCTGACACTATTCCTGTCCTGGCCTGTATAAGAAATGCATTGCTGAAAGAGCAAGTAATACTTTCAAATTCAAACAACATAATCTGAAGCTCAGTTCCAACTTTCAGAGGAGACATAACTATATTTTACATAGAGAGCTTGTATTAAATTTGTCTCAGTGTGGGCTCTGTTGAATCAGCATGATGCATATGGTGGATTTTTTTTCACTTATTTTCTACTTCTCTTTTATTGGCAGTAGTTTCCCCAGACTGGACTAGTCCAACCCTGAGTAAAATGGCTAAGAATATTTTTTCTTGCTGTATCAGCTATCATGTTTTAGTCACTTGAGACTTATCAGTCTATATTACTGATGGTTCTATGCAACTGTTGCTCTTGTACAGAAATTACTGATTTTTTAGGCATTGTGAAGTGAGTTGCTGTCTGGGTATTGATGAAATCATAATATGGCAGCAAGTTCAGTGTAAACAGACCCACTAAATGCTCACCTTGCTTTTTGTCTGAGCCTGTTGCAAAGCTGTGCTGTTACCAGCACCGACACTGCCCAGGGTAAGCACAGAGAGCATTTTTCTGCATTGGTGACACCACCACAAAACCTTTTACATGACTCTGTAATTCTCAAGTGGCTTGTAAACAGTGCATTTTAAACATGAATATGCAGTTTAAGATTATTCTCAATGGAACTTGAGAAGTGCAATATGCTTTTATGGTAGATGATATAGCAGCACCGTAATTTAAACATTACTAATGCTGCTGTATAAATAAAGCCTATACTTCTTTAAAATTGGGTTTTCCTAACATAAGTACTGCATTTAAATGCAGTGTCTGTTGTTTACAAAAAATTTTTGAAATAAAACTGTATTATAGTCTGTGCATGAGGACAAAACAATTGAAAAACAAATTAAAGCTATTACCATGTTGCTAATGTAGACAGAGGTAAGGAAACTCAAACTAACAAAAAAAATCTATAAAGAAACCCCAGAAATTCTAAAAGTTTCTCATCAGCCATTCTATATGTTCTCCTCACCCTTAGCAGGATTCCTGTTTGATTATTCTTGGAATTAGTTCTGATATGTTTCCTATTTAATGTATCACAATTATTTATGGTTATATGGTAGCACCAGATGGAAATGCTAATACCAAATGAAAGAAGTACAGGAGATGTTTTAAACTGAGTGTTAATTACATGCAGAAAAAGTTATAGCTTTCCAAGAAAAAACAATTTCCAACTTCCAAAACCTTGCTATTATTTTCATTAAAAAAATAAAATCAAAGGTAAATAAAATAAAAGTCTTAAAATTTTCAGAGTACTGCTTTTGAATAATGTTATCCACAATTTTAAGACAGTTCATTAAATAGAAAAAAGATTTGTTTTACATAAAGCAAAAGAGTACAAAAGCACAGCTTTTGTAATTTTGGTAATATTGCAGTTCTACAAACATATTGCATAGTATGTGTAAGAAAATAGTTCCCATCTTTTTATATATACTTCTATACACAAGAGAACCATTAACATGAAGGTTACAAAACAAAAATGGTTAGCAGACCTTTACTGAGTAGTGTTTGGAACAATACAACGCTCAGATTTTGATCCAGCTTTCACGCGCATTACAGTGAATCAGCTGATAACAATTCCGTAGTCCAAAGTTTGTGGATTTTTAACTTGTTTTTTATTTAGCAATTATTTAGAATCTAAAAACAAAGCAAAACAAATAAAACAACCCCGTCCCTAAAAGATACATTATGTTAGCAACCAAATATCTCAAACATCCTTCATTAAATCCCTCCAGACATTTATGGCTCTATCTTCCAGACTTAATAACCCTCTGCATCTAAAATGGTCGAAAGTGAATTCTTTTATCCAATCAAGCCATTTTTGCAAGCAAACCAGTATAACTTCAATTCAAAGCAGCAATGTATGTTTTCTTAGGAGCACCAAAAGACCCCCCTTATGCATAAATATTAATGTAATTGCAAGACACTGACAAAAAATTTAAACCCTGGAAAAAAGTGAAAATCTACAGCTCAAAATGCTGCACAAATCTAAACTATGTTACATTTCATGTTGTAATTACAACTTTTCATCTCTTCATTCCAACAGAATTAGTAGAAACAACAGTGTCATAGTGTTGGATATAATAGAAGTGTCTGTCTTTGGTCTTAACACTTAACCAATGAATGAACTGCAATACAAACCATACAGCTGACAGTGCTCAGAGAGGTTGGGTGATGCTTTCACTTTTCTCTCTTTTTTTTTTTTTTTTAACAAGAAATAGACAGCATCCTATAATATGACACAAATATTTTTTACAGGAGATAAATCCATCATATATATTGAATACATGTAGCCAATAAGGTCTTTGCAGATATTTCATTGCTATCATAAGAACAGCATCTTAATTTTTTAGTATGGTTAATGTATTGAAATCACTTTTTGAATACTCCTTGAAGTCATGTGGGCTAAAAATACTTTTTAAAATACAAACTTATTTCTCCCCTTATTACAGTTTTCAATTGATTTAAAGAAAAAAAATCAACATTATGAAATTCAACAGAATATTAAGACTTTATGAGAACTTGTTATTCTATCTCACAGGTTGTTGAAGCTCATAAATATGCTCTACTTCATATTGATTGGACTCCAATAAAGAATATTCTGACAGTGCAGAGCTAAGTGAACTTACTGGGTTGGATTTTTGGAGTCCGAGGTACTATCCATTTATCTCTTAGTTCTCTTCACACAAAGTGGCAAATTATTTCAGTCTTGCTGTTAAAATTAATCTAGTAGCAAGAGTTTTCTTCCTACCTGCCCATTCCCAACCAAGTTGGCGCAAAATTTATTAAGATTGGGTCCTCCCATCCAGTGAACAGAAACCTTTTTTAAACAAATAACAGGAAAATAATCTCAGAAAGTGAAGAACAAACAAATAGGATATTTTTAGTGGAAAATTCATGACAAAGGATCTGCAAGTCATCTTGCAGGTTTATTTGAGGAGAAAAAAACTCCTTGGCTTACCTTTATGCAATTTGTGGGAAGCCCCATTTTAATTCACCAAATAGATTAGTCACTATATTTGTTCATCTTTTAAGCAACAGGTGTATGTAGATGTGCACAGATAATGAATACACATAGATGTGTCCTCATAGATATCTTTATATGTTTCTTCCTGAAATTCATGACTATCACTCTACCATTCTATTACTTGTGTGCATAAGAAAAAGACATCCATATCCCTACATACAATAAGGGTGTATTGTATGGCTACACTTTTTCATGTTTTATTGTCATCTTCTTTGTAATCTGTAACTCTTTTTATCCCTCTGACTATCTGAAAAATCCTCATATTCTAATATATTTTCTTTCAATATTTTCTAGTATATTTTATTTCAAAGAAGAAAAACATCAAAGAGACAACAAATCAGCTGTTAACAGCCTTCTTTTGAATACATAAAGGAATAAATTCAAAACTTTCATTTAACTGTTAAAACAAGCAAATACAGAATTCTTGCTATGGGTTAAAATTCACACCTCTGAAGAGGGCCACTGGTAAGGCAAGCACCAGTCAAGCCATTCACATGTCTTGTGCTGGTCTTCTGCATAGGAGTGAATTTCACCTGAACTGAAAACAAAGTTAATTTTATCAGGTTGTAGTAAGATGCCATGGCAATCATCATACTAGTTAGCTCATTTTCATTTTTTTTTTCTCTCAAAATATATTTAAAAAAAAATGTGTGTAGAAATACCCACCTTGCACCATCTCTCCCGGCCTTAGAATTACTTTGCAAAAGCTCTTATTTCATTGGTGATCTTAGATCCAAAAGTCTCCAAAAATACAAGCTAGGTGATGTAATATAAAGAATAGAGTTAAAAAGCACACTTACCTCACACAATCAAGCCATCTTCCACAATACGAAATATTTTTATATTGTTTTACTTTTCTGGGCTCTGCAAGTTTCAAGATACTCTTGTTAATCAATGCTGTGCCAAATTTACCAGCAGCATACCAAAGCATTTTTTATAAAATTTCAATTAACGATGAAGCCGAATAAGTATGAACATTGATACAAGAAATAAATCCCACATGAAACTTGTCAAAATAGAAAGTCAGTAGTGAGATCTGAGTGCAAATGTGGCTGCATAATTTAAACACAGACCTGATAAAGGTAATGTAATATTGACATACTATTTAATACCGAATGTCATTTAATATGTGGTTCTATATATACTACTATTACTTTGAAACTTCAGCAACAGATGGTAAACAAAAGAGAATAATAAATGTGAATGTCATACAAGTTGTTAGTGCACTGCATCTCAGCACCACGTTACATTACTACCAATGTTTGTACTGTGTTCAAGTGGCAGCAGACAGTCAGAAAATGGGCAAGATGTACCTTTGAAGATTTCTCCCATGGTTTTGTATTTACCAATTATGAGAACCTTGTGAAGAGCAATACACTGATCAAAAAACATATCATCAGAATTTCCTTCTTTACCCGGGTCTTCTTTTCCAGAAACCATATGTTCGACTTAAAGCAATTGCTTCACATGCAGTGGCCACAAAAATATTATATAAGGTCATTCAGATCTGACAAACAAAAACATGTCTTTTTTTTTTAAAGGAATATTGCTGAGCATTTCCAGAATTTACCTAGTGTACAAAACCCTAGACTTAGTAGACAAATAGTAACAACACTTTTTTAAAGAAACCAAACTCAGGGAGGAATTTTGTCTCTTTTTGTATTAAAAACCGTTTACTGAATTTGTTTAGTAAAGCAAGCATCACACAATGCTTTAAAATTTTAAAATTCAGGGATAAAAGTTTACTTCAAAAAGATGAATGGAAAATTGTGCTTTCAGACAGTAAAGTTATTTATCATACAGGGGGAACCAATTAATCTCACCATCAGATTCTGGGTAAATTAATATACTCTGTCTCTCTGTCTCTCTAGATATATATTTATGAGCAGTTCATATCCAGGTCCTGCAAAAATCTAAAACTATGTGCTTCACTTCAAGTAGCAAAGGCACCTGTGTTATTGTTCCTTTTGGAAAATAAGGTGATCATATGTTCTAGGTTTCCTGATGAAGAATACATTGTTTTCTGGTTATCTCTCTCCCATCTCTGTGTTGAGGGGCAGCACAGACCACAAGAGGAGGCAGCGCCGTACTCCTGCTTGCAGTGGAAGAAGTTGCTCTGCAGGCCCTTTGGAGCGTCGGACTTGTCACAAGGGAAACCAAACTGAACTGTGAAGCAGAGGGAAGTAACAAAAGGCTATTCTGGTGTGTGGATAAAATGGAGTCATTCTAGCTCCACAAGCAGATGTTGCTACTGGATTGACATGTGGAGGCTGCTCCTGCTGGGGACAGGTAAAGTTTACCATTGGGACAAGCACAGAGCTCATAGATAGTCTGGCGAGGAGCTGAAGAGCTGGGTGAGGAGGAGGAGGAGAAGGAGGAGGAGGATGAAAAGGACCCCACTGGTAGATTTCCCAGGCGGATTGTATCTGCGTTTAAAAATATCTAAAAAGAGGGAGAAAAAAAATAAATACATAAATTTTTATCAGCACTGAGACATATTTTAAAGAAGCGCTTTGAGGCAGCTGTAATATTTTAGAAGTATATTTCAAATTTTAGAAATATTTTATTAGAAGTATTATAAAGATATATTAGAAATTACTCTTTTTAGAAGTAAAAAAGCTGGCAGCATTTATTGTTTTTAAACTCTGTGTAGTCATTTCCTGCATTAATAGTCATTATGACAATATATGCAATTACTTCACCGACATTTATTCAGGTACAAATATTATTATACAAAAATATTTAGACAATATTCTTGAGTAGGTTGAATTTCCACTTGTACATTTTATTATTAACATTTATTCATTCATAGTGGCAGCATATACTTGCTCTGGCAAAATTTGTATTTTAATAAGTGTGAAGTGATATTAAAGTACATTCCCCAGTGTGTTCTTGTAAGCAGCTGAAAATATGTGCTGAACTGTGCTAAATTGTAGGGGCTTAACAATAGCTACTTCCAGAGAATAATTAAATGAGGTTACAAAGACATATGCACAAAATAAAGAGCTTTTTTGACCTAAATTAAGATGAGGAAAGATTTCAGGTTAAGGTTTTATTAAGAAGCTCATCAAGATATTTCCATTTGTTTTTGAACATTGAATATGGTTTAAAAATATCATACGTTTTTTCCTGCCAGTGAAAATAACATGAGTCAGTATGAAACTGTAGATACATTAATGAATCTGTGTAGAGTTCTCCAATGCTTACACTTACATTTGCAGAAAACTGCATGTCTTCTACTGGTACAAACAGCTGAGTGTCCAGCTGCTCAGTATTTATTTTTTATTTATGGAAAGAGTAAATAAAAGCTAAAGTAAAATCAGTCATTATCTCAGGAGCACACTAAGAACTTCTAGAAGACAGGTAACAAATCAAAATGGCTTTAAGCTCTGGAGGTGACATTTGAAACTTAGGAAAAGGTGAGTTCCTTAAATATCTTCTAGTGTTTTTTCATATGGTATCTAAAATCAACAAAGCCAACTCAAATCATTGTACCACAATGTTTACACTACATGTAAAACACCTAAAGAAATATGGAAAGCATTTTTTTTCTATAGGATATAAGTATTATTTTATAATAAAATAAAGTCTCTGGATCAAATTCCATACAGGGAATTATGCATATTCATATTTCCATCCACAGAAGAAGCACTGTAAATGAATGGAATTGTTGAAGGTAATATAGTCTGAAAGTAGCCCCAAACACTACAACTCCCCATCACTGTAAGGTCTCCAGCTCCCACAGTAATCATACTGTTGTGGGAGGGAATACACACCAAAAGGGACAGAAAAGGAGAATCTCAGAGACAAAGGTGACATCTGCATGTCACAATGCCTGCTTAAATTCACATTATGACTGATAGAGGAAGTGATCACAAAACTAAAATGCAACAAATTATTCTCTTTGTTCTGTAACTTATATAACAAATAAATGATGTATTTAGATACACATACATACAATGTTGCTTGGAAAGTCCAGCATTACAGATCTGATACAATTAGTAGTCACAATCCTTGCAGATACAGATATTATGTAAGAAATGTGGATGGTGTTGGGAACATGTTAATAATGTTGTGCTAGAGTTACAACTGAAAAAAAAAAAAAGTTTACACATGTTAAAACATTCATCTCAGCTAAGAGTAAGTGTGAAAGTAACTATGGTAAATATAATATAAAAACAAAATAACAGATGGGGAAAAAAGAGTTTAATAACAAACTAGAAACTAGGAACTGGTAAAATGTGGGAAGGAAACGACACAATAATGAATGCAGTGACAAGTATACTTGTCACTAGTAATTAAAAGTATTCTTTTGCATCTTATATCAAGAAAAAACAAATGGCAACAGATCAATTTGTATAACAAGTAGTATCAGTAGAGTTATCAATAGCATTGCATAAAAATCTAGTAGCATTTAATAATGCAAAGTCTATGTAAGTATAAGTGTATCTTTTGTACTAAATGATGCTCAGCATAGTTCTGTACTTGGAGAAAGATCAGAAACTGATGTCAGAACATGACTGTGATAAAATACTTTCAATTTCAAAAGTAATTCAACAGGATATTAAACTGGAGCCAGTAATATCACATACTTTTAATCAGCAGTTCTTGATAACTTTTAAGAAATAGAGCTAAAAAAATATCTGAGTGGCCTTTTGGACTTTTAATACTGACATTCAGCAAGCCTTGTGTCATGGTTGAACTCCAGCCAGCAGCCATGCGCTGCACAGCCACTCACTCACACCCCCACCAGAAAGATCAGGAAGAAGTTGGAAGGGTAGAAGCTGGAAAACTCATGGGTTGAGATCAAGAGAGTTTAACAGTGAAAGCTATGCACAAAAGCAAAGCAAAACAAGGAATGAATTCACTGTTTCCCATGGGCAGGCAGGTGTTCAGCCATCTCCAGGAGAGAAGGGCCCTGTCACACAGAATGATGACTTGGGAACACATACATCAGCACTCCAACGGCCCTTTCCCTTATTCCCTCTTCCTCCAGGAGCTTTATATAGAGAGCCTGATGTTATAGAGTATGGAATGTCCCTGTTACAGTGAGCTCATGGGCACCCTGTGCCCCCCTTCCCCGGGCCCCTGTGACTCTGATCAGATAACCCTGGAGCCCTCCTTCCTGCCCCAACGGGGTTGGCAGAGAGCCAGGAAAGCCCACCCTGTCCAAAACCTATATAGACCCCTGAGATTTCCTGTTCTTCCTCTTTTGCCCCGCTCTCCCATGGACACCACAGAATAAAGAGAGCTGTACCATCCAACACCCTGGGGTAAGAGCCGCTTTTGAATATTTATCCCTCTCCTGGTATTCCTCCACTCACAGCCCCTTATCTCTGAGGTAGTCAGATTCTTTGAGGGGCTGCGTGGAGGGGGGGAAAACTACATGTCCCTTTGGTCAATTGAGGTCACCTGCCCTGACTGTCACCTCCCAGCTTCTCATGCACCCAGTCTCCTCCACAGCATGGCAGTATGAAAAGCAGAATAATCCTTGGGTCTGTGTAGTATCTGCTCAGCAACAGCGAAAACATCTCTACATTATCAACCTTGTCTTCAGGACAAGAAAATAAACACTGTTGCAGCCAAAACCAGCACACCTTGAGATACCTGGAATACCAAAGAAGAAATGAAAAAGACTATTTCTATGGAAGCTGGAGACATTGATTGGAATATTATATATGGAATTATAAAAAGCACCTCAATATAGAAAATATATGAATATACATGTAAGGCAATCCAACACAATACAGGATATCTTATATATATATATGTATATATATATATATATACACATATATATAGTGTATATATATACGTATATATATATATATATGTATTTATATATATATATATATATATATATATATATATATATATACTGATTGTATGACTGGCCATTTTAACAGCTTAGCTGTATTCACAATGGGGAAGATCCATGAGAAATCTGTAATACAAAATTAAATGGGTTCTAAAAGATATGTTTTGATTCAAACAAGAATTAACTCAAAAGATCAGAGGGCCTATGTGTCAGAGATCGGGCTGGAATTAAATCTCTTGAACTTTATTAAATTATTTGCTATGAGCTCAATAATTTTTCTGTTTGTTTACATCAGGACAGCTACAATTCTACAATCTATCATTGCAGGTGTTCTGTAGTGTACTGCTCCAAGACTTTAATCCAGAGGACTTTACTCTGATGTGCATTACAATGCAGTTCAGTTATTTTGTTCATTACATGAAATGATCTTTAATAAGCATAGCTGTGCAGGCTTTTCCACTGTATATCACCCTGTGATGTACAATAATCCAGGTTTATCTGGTATCATAATCCTGCATGGTAGCTATCCAGTCCTGTCCCAGCATGCATCCCAGAACATCTGGTGACCAGTGTGGGTACTAGGATATTGTGTTTGAGAAAAACTGAACTGGCTTCTTGAGAGGGTGATACCTGCTGCAGTGAGTCCAATTTAATCCCATCCCTATAGCTACACCCTGGTGAAAGCTTGAGTTGAAGAGGATCAATAAAGATGGTTTAAAGCCAGTATTAAAATCTAGCTTGTACATATGATGTCAAGGCTATAAATGAAAGATGAAATTTAGAGATGCAACACTGCTATCTATTAGTTAAGCAGGAATCCAAATATGCTGCCAGAGTATCCCAACACATTAGGAATTTCAGTGTACATATTTGAGGATTTATGTTTTCTGTCCTCTGATCTGCTAAAAACTGAAATTCATGGCTGAAAAGTCCTCCAACACCAGCAAAACTTAAACTACTTACTGTTTTATGCCTGATCTTATCAGGTGTTTAAAGAGAATGGAAGAAGTGGCAAGACAAAAAATTAAACAGCATGATTTTTCTAGGGAACACTGTTGCTAGATGGCAGTAGTTAATGGAAATGCCTGTGTGCATGGTCTTTCTCTAATCTGTTTTGCTGTGAGAGGTATGAGATAAGCCATTTAATACCTCCCATGCATCAAGGCAATGTAGGCCGATCGTACTCTTTCTGAGAGTCTCACTGCTCAGCAGATAAATAGACACAAATAAAACAAAAGACTTCATTCATTCTTGAAACATTGTAGGAGACTGACAAACTGCAAGATGGAAAAAGCAGCTGCTACTCAGAGAAATGTTATTTCATGGAGAGCTGAATGCTGAGTAGAATCATGCTTTCTAAATACTTAAGGTTTAGGAATCTTAGATCATTATTTTGTCATGTGCATCTTAGTACAGAGAAAAATACACTAGTTCTATGTTGTTTAAAAGTAGATCCAATTTCTCACTAATTAAAGAATCAAACTTAATCAGCCTAGTGTATGTGACAAGAATAGAAAAATATACTCTTTTTATATACACTTTTTGCTAACAAAGATCTGCCATTCACCTGCTCATCAGACTGTATTGTTAATCTGAACATTGAGAGAGAAAGGGAGAGGAAGGC